GTGTGTGTAAAGTCGGAAAAATTTTGATTCTCACGTAGCGATGCTGGGAAAAATATACTGATAAAAAAAGAACGCGTATATTTATGTGCATGCATGGACGTATCCAGGAAAGAGAGGAGGAGTTCAAATTCCATTCCCCCTTTCCCCGAAAGAAAAAGTTAAAGTTATGATTTACAAAACCTAATACTTTTCTCATTCAAAATTAGGAATGAGGAGATATTAGAAACTCTATGTTATACAAAAAAGTAATTTATTAATGCGAAAAATTATTGTTAATAGAATTGATAAAAATCCCCCTAAGAAAAATAATCTTGAATACACCCTCATGCGTGTATATATAATAAAACCTCTATTATCCGAACGCGGTTTAACCGACTTTTCGGCGGTATCGTCTAAGAAAATAAACATGCCGCATGCACATTACATTTACGTAAACATATATGCGGACGTTCGTTACACACGATGTAACATACATCTTCGCTCTGCTAGCAGTAGTCTGAAACAAACGTGTATTAACAAGACCGTAGACGATAAACGACAGAAAATAACATCCCCAGTCATTTTGAAGAGTATTTTCTTTAAAAGCAAATCTTAGACGCTACGAAGCACAGAAAGAAGGTGCAGCCCGACTGCAACAGCTATTGTTACGCAAAATATATGAATTAAGCAGCTTAAAAAAACAGAGAAGATAAAAGAATGGAGAATGAAAAATAACAGTCGAGTCATTGTTTTTATTTCTATTTCGTTATAATTAACAGAATACCACGTAATAAATAAACTTCCTTTGCTATAAAAGCGTGATAATTTAGTTATCCCCAAAAAATTAATTATCCGACTATCTTGTTTCTCGATTGGATAATAGAAGTTTTACCATACTCATCTTTATGATGTTTAATTAGAATTATAAATCTTTCTTTTTGCCGCGAATTACTTGATTAACTTGTCCTTCTAAAAATCTCGTGACTGATATATTCGTGGAAAAGTTCGTCTCTCTAAATAAAGCAAAGATCTCGGGCGGAACATGTACGAAGGTACCGGCAAAATTGTACCCGTGTCAGCCTCGGATTGGGGCATAAATTCTTGTAGTTCCGCTATCAGCTGGCCGATCTCTTCCGAGTCCTTTCGGATGCTGCAGAGCTCCTCCTCATTGAAGTCCGGTCTAATCTGTTTGCACAGGAGGATCTGCGAGACCACATTGCCGATATACGAGGGACCGGCGCGGCTCTCTGTAACGAAATGCGATAACGAAAACTGTGTCGTTAGATCTTGACGGCGTCATGTGATATCGACAACGTCTCCTTATCTTCTTAACGGACTCGCGCGCGTTTCATGCGAAATATTTTAAGCGAAAGGAAGCGGAAATAATAATCATGATTTTATTAATAATATAATACGTAATACGCTCTATTTAGCGTGGCTTTATAATATAAAAGTGCACAGGGCGTTTCTTTTTTTTTTTTTTCAACCTTTTTTTCGACGGGATATTTAAAAAAGCTTCCATAAACTTTAATACGTGCAACCGGGAGAGAAATAAACGAGCGCCCGGAACAAGCTATAGTGCTTGTGTAATGTCAAGGAAATAGTTATAAATTATTCGGGGCAAAGTTTCACTTATGAGAAGGGGAAAATACCTTCTATTGTGGTTCACTTGTTACTTGGCAAGCGCACCGCTAATAGTTAGGAAAAAACGCATATTAACGGCCGTGCCAGCAACGAAACGCGAGCGTCGCTCTCTTTCCATGACACGCGTACGTCGCGTGCAATGGAATTCGGCTCGATTGCGGCAGGAAGCGACGTGTAGTTGGAAATTGGGATTTGCTGGACGCGCCTGGACAACCGTATGCGATAGTTTTGAGAGTTATGATCCGTTGGGATATATACGCCGTAAATCAATCTATTCCGGTCTGACTCAAAGCGGCCGCAGAAACCGATTTAACGTTGCGCTTCGGTGCAAACCGATAACGCAACGTGACTCAATTCCGTCGACACCTTTGCGCTCGTTCTTATAACCTTCCGCGCAAAATTTCTCCCATGTCGAAGTTTAATTGGGATTAAATTATTATCGAAAACGGCGAGAATTAAACTCTCGTCTCGATCGATGAGCACCCATTCATTTCTCGAGATTAAAATCACCAGCGACCACCAACTTCTTGTTGACTATGTATTTGTAAGGAAAAGTTCCCCGTTAGATTACGCTCGTGTTTTCCTGCATCCGCAGGTTCTTTGAACAGTTTAGAGATAATTATTGTAACGTTATCAAATAAAACGCTGGGAACGCATGCATGACTTACCGTAATATCCGGACATGTCCATAGGTATAATTCGTATGAGGTTTTTACTCTTGTGCAGTTCGCGTAAGAAGAGTTGAGCCACGTAAAACAACAGCACCAGATTTGGACTGTCGACCGGTATCCCGACGTCCATAGCGCTGTAATAAAATATATTTATCTTTTCTAATTATATTTTTCTAAATTTAAATAAATAAAATATATATGTGTGTGTGTGTGTGTGTGTGTGTGTGTATATTTATATATTTATATTTTTAAAAGATTTTTGATCGCGTTTAAAATCACTAATTCCTATAATGAAAAGATGTACGGATGTGCATTAGTGTAATTCCACTCGCAAATCTTACAAAGTAACGTGAGCATAAGTACGATGCCAATATAGAAGCCGCGATGTAAAACCGCGAAAGATCCCGATTATCGTTGCTGAATGCGCTGCGAGGTAAATCGCATTATCGCGAGAGATACGAATTGCTTTAACGACTTCCTTGTCGGGTCTCTCGGATGCGCGCGATTTTACTTGAAAGTCCATAAATCTGATTTCTCTTTCGCTTCGTCTCCGCTCGTAGCTCGCCGAGTTAATTACATTAAAAACATTATTACCCCATTGCTTACGGGCTGGGGTCACCCGCGAGGCACGAGTGCTGGTCTCATTAACGCGCGCGCACCTTTCGCAAACGTGTTCAAGTATCGGTATGTCCCGTTCCGTAGGCAACATTGCTCCTCCTCTCTTTCTCCTCGATGATGTTTGAATAAAAAAAAAGTGGTTAAAAAAGGGCGTTAACGACGTGTTCGCGTACACGTAAGAAGGGCGAGGCAGAACGGAGGCGAGGCCTCGGGGTGATTTCGTTGGTACGCAGTCCTTATAGCTTTATATGATGTATTATTTTAAGCGAGGCACAAACGCGAGCGGTAAACGTTCCAAGCGATATCACCTTTCCGCAGCGGGTCTTGTATAATAAATACGTTGCCTGAAATTCTGGAGAGAGTAACCGAGGGATATTTTACGAAATATGTCGTGGAACGTAATACAATAACGCAAAATCGTGGGACGAGGGAGGGCATGCAAGCGCGACAGAGAAGGCCGCAGGAAAACCAAGTACTCTGATTAACTCGTTTTACGTCAATTACCGCATCGGTCGAGCATTGAGGGAAGTCCTTGCAGAGAAACCATTTCGGTTGGCTTCCGGTTAATGAGATTCCAATTAACGCGCGAAATAGATTGGCGCGACCGAAGGCAACCGATCTCAATCTGCGAGCATATTCGCGACAGCTTCTTGCTGCGTTATCGAGGTGGCTGATTATCAAAGCCGTCAAGTAATTTCTCCTTCTTTTTCTCTCCATATCCTTTTATTACTTGCTAAGTGTTAATAGATGGAGCGCTACGCTTTGCCGCCATTCAAGTTTAGACGTTCCGGAAATAAGGCTCGGATTATATTATAATGAGAGATACAAACGGGAATAGAAATGAGTTTACTTTCGTCTACTGTAACTTGCGGCGGGTTTGTAGGAAATGGCTCGGATTTCAATATGTCGGAATTTAAATCCTTTTGCGAACAGACCCGTCTGGCGCACCGTACAGCCAGAAGCGTTTTGCAGCCGAAGAGAAGAAAGCTATCGATTTCACACAGATTGGTTCCTCGCAAAAAGTTAAGTCACGAGGTGAGCCAAAGGTAGAAGTGAGTATCGCAAAAAAGGTTAGCGCCACTCCCAATTACCGATTCCTTTTTCCTTCACCTTCCGCAGTTTTCTCTTTCTCATCTTCACTCAGTCGTCTTCGAATAATATCTTCCGGGGCTTTGCACACCTTAATGAAGATCTAAATGTTTCACGAATTCGTTTTCTTCGAAATTCTTCTTTCTATTCGCCCGAAGCGAAAGAGAGCAAAATACGTAGCAATATGCACGACGACATTATGCGCAATTATTATAGCGCAGCGCTTTGGACCATTTATTACTACTTTAGATTCGCTTCGCCGAACGATTAATTTCAGCGAAACCGTTTAATCGCGAAACCGTTTAACTTGCGAAAGCTAAAAACTCGCTTTCGATGAGACCGGGGGGATGTAGATAGACAACGGAATTCATTTCATTTTTTTCCCCGCATTAATTTAGCGAGCGGGTTTCTCCGCGGTCTGGAAACTTGACTCTGGAGTTGACCCTCCATGCGATGCCGCGATCCCGCGTGTTTGAAAAATGCCGAGATTTTATGGGCGAGGCCGCCGGAGTAGTTACGCCGAGTATCTGGAGCGCGCATCCGTGGAGCGCGAAAATAATTATTTGTCGAACGCGAAAATTAGATCGTACGCGCTCGGATATGAGGCCACGGGAGCGTAATGGGAGTTTCAACGAAACGCCGCTTAATTAGATACCGACGTCGAATAAAACTATCGCCGGTCGTAAATGCCCGGCGTACACGCACCGTTTTATCTACTTTCGTTTAAGCCGGATTATCCCTGGCCGTTACGAAACGTTAATTATTGTCCGTCCGGCCTCTCCTCTCTCCTCATGGATAATAGCGTCGCTTCTCCGCCGGCCGGGGCTCGGAACAATATCGCCGCGTGACAAGCACTCACGTTTCCGCCGTTTGATTACGTCGATACCACTTGCCGCGACGCAACAGTTCAATTACTCGCGAATTATTATTCATATCGGCTGTCAACTATTGCGCCTCGGAGAGCGCACGGATATCCCGCACGGATATAAAACAAATCTCTTTGTCCCGGTCCGCATTTCTATGTCCGCCGCCGCGACCCACGCGCGCGCGGATTTCTTTTTCCGGAGGCGCGATCCTACGATCGATCGATCATCTTTACATTCACATCTTCTCGTACATTCGATCGATCATCTTTACATTCACATCTTCTCGCGCATTCGATCGTACGTTGCATACACGTACGCCTGTCGCGTCGTTCGATTTATACTCCCGCGCGGACGTCGCGTTCGTGCGCCGTATCACCGCGAAAAACACGCAACACACCGCTGCATCGATTATGCAAAATACACACCGACATTTTTATTTCGCGCGCCTTTTTATTCCCGGAGATCAACGGCGGCCGCCCACTGCCCGGTACGCCTACATTAATCCGGGGATTAAGAGGAGCTGCCGGCGTGACTTTTCGAATTACAATAGCGACCGCCCCCGGTCTCGCTGAAACATCTACAAAATGCTCGAAATTGTGTACCTCGCGAAAAGACCAGCGACGGCAATTAAATTATTGATAAGAAATTGTTTCACCAGGCACGTCCTCGCGTGTTACGTGTACCCGACTACGTCACCCACGATGTCTTTGATATAAAATAACTCTTTTCTCTCACTCTCTCTCTCTCTCTCTCTCTCCTCGTTTTATTTCAACTTCTTGCTTTGTGTGTCTCTCCCTCGTGCAATTTTTATTATTTTCCATTTTTATTCGTGGGAAAACGCTCGAGAATTATTGCGCTTTCAAGCGCTGTTTTCATTTTATTGGCTATTCGTCATTCAACGTTTTATTCCGGGTACCTTAGCAAGAGCCAAGTGTTTGTCTAGTTGTCACTCGAGAGTTTCGAGAGAATCGTTCATCGCGAAGCCTCGTAGCCGCGGACGGCGATTCCATTCTCCGCCGTAATTGCCGAGTTTACGCTGCACGACCCGCGAACGACGGGTAACTTTTACGCGGCGTTCTCGTGCCGCGAGGCGTGTGGGAGAGCCGCGGCTCGCTGCGCGCAAATAGCACGAAACAAACGCGGCGGGTGGTACATTCCTACGGCATTAATACTTGATCGGGGTGTCGCTCGGGGTAAGCTCCCGCTCTCGAGAACGCGAAACTTTCCGCGAGCGAGAACCGCTACCGCGCGACCTGGATCAAGGGAAAGATCGACGAGGCACAGCCGCACGCGCACACGTGTACACGCATGTGTACGTACGTGTGACACGCGTACATCTGACTTTACGTAAATAATCTTCGCGCGTCACGGAACGCGTTGTCGCGATGTCAGGTCGTTCCTTTCGGGAACCGTGTCACGCCCCCCCCCCCCGCGGTAAAATTGCCTAAAATTAAGATGGACGGGCAGTTCGAAAACACGTTTTCTAATTTCCATAACGAGCTCGAGCCACCGCGGGGAAAAAAAGAGATCTCGCGGGGAGATTTCACGGCGAAACTGCATACCTGTCGTATATTCAGCGCGGAAGCAATCAGACTTCTCTACCGTGACCAATTATTCGATATTGCAGCGGAGTCTGTTTTATTGGGCGTGTTGAAAGATCTTGCTGAGTAAATTTATTTACAGAAAGAAGTGAATATGCTGCCAAAGCGAAATGGTTTATCTGTAGAATACATTTTCGTCGTTGCAAACGAAATGATTCGTTATTAATAATTATTAATAATCATTCAGCAAAATTATAATAAATTCAGCGAAATTATTTTTCGCAAACAAAATTAATATTTCCTAATAAATTCCCTCGCGCTGCTCGTACGGTAACTAACAACGTTTGCCTACGACGGCAAATAAAATATGCTGTGTCAATAAATCTTTTTCTCCCCAGATTTATACTTCAGAAGACATTATTTACGTGAAACTATGAATTATTGAATTGAAAATATTAACATAGATAATAGAACCATCCGATGGACAAACAAGGTTAAATCGGCTGATTAAAATTCCGCGTCGTGGAAATTTATTACGCTTTATTAGATTTTTCGTGGCAGACTGTCGGGAGACTGCCAGGAGACGATCGCAAAGTCAATTGCGAGTCTGAGACGGTGAAAAACCTGTGTAAATCGATGATGAAGGGCACCGTGATGCGTCCAGCAAACTTACGGAATGAAAGTTATTGGAAGTGCTCGGTGCGACGATGGCACGTGACGTTTTTCTCATGACCATGATTCTTCGAACATTCAGTCGTCTCACTGTGACCTGCATTGTGCGAAACGTGCAAGGGACTGCACAGAAGCAATGTAAGAAATCTAGAAAAAGTTTCTCTCTCTCTCT